TCCATGTCGGAGAAAAATGTCATAGGAATTTTAATGGGGATTGCATTAAATGGTTTGGAGGTTCCTTAAACAGCTGAAGATAGATCTACCATACGACCCAGCTATCCCACTGCTGGGAATATATCCAAAGGAATGGAAATCATCAAGTCGAAGGTATATGTGTTCCCCAATGTTCATCGCTGCACTCTTTACAATAGCCAAGAGTTGGAATCAGCCCAAATGTCCATCATTGGATGAGTGGATACGGAAATTGTGGTATATCTACACAATGGAATACTACTCAGCTATAAAAATGAATGAAATACTTCCATTTGGAACAACATGGATGGACCTTGAGAGAATTATATTAAGTGAAACGAGTCAGGCACAGAAAGAGAAATACCACATGTTCTCACTTATTGGTGGGAGCTAAAAATAAATAAATAAATTCACACACACACACACACACAAAAAAAAAAACCGGTTTGGGGGGGGGAAGAAGACTTAACAACTACAATTCCTTGAAGTTGATACGACAAGCAAACAGAAAGGACATTGTTGGGTGGGAGGGGGGCGAGGGAGGCGGGAGGGGGGTTTCTGTAATGGGCCACAATAATCAACCTCATTGTGTATCGACAAAATAAAATTAAGAAAGAAAATAAATAAATAAATAAATAAAATAAAATAATTGCATAGGGTGCAGTTTGATGAAAAGACTCAGGCCCAGACCAGAGTTTCGGATTTCTCGAGAGTCAGAAGTACCTATAAAGTCAACCATTAAAACCTGAGATGCACAAAAAGACTTCCCTAGTGAACCAGCAGCAAAGCAGCAATCTAGCTCAACCACACAGCTCAAGTACTGGTCCCCACAGGAAGTTCAACATTTTAGAAGTAAACAAAGGACAACAAATTAGTTCTACCACAGAGTTTAAATGATGGGAACAGCAAAAATCCAACACAGAACTGATGAAAAAACAAAGTACCCGCAACCAGAGACAAAGTTTCATATTAAGTAGTAAAGGTCTCATTTCACCAAAGAACACCTATAACATATAGAAGCACCAGAAGTCCCGTGCGATATCAAGCCAGAAAGCGGGGAGGGCCAGGGACCTCAGCAATGCCCCCCAACACCCGTGACCAATCCCGAGGGTGAGGGATGAGGGCCTCAGCCATGCCCCCCAACACACGCAGCCAGCCGAGCAGCTGCAGGAAGCACCCCAGGCTCTCCGACTGGGGCAGTGGGGGCTCTCAGACCTTAGCCATGCCCCCCCCAACACACACAGCCAGCCCAGAGGTGACCACAGAGCTGCCACAGGAAGTGCCCCTGGCTCTCCCATGCTAGGAGAGTGGGAGGCTGAGGGCCTCAGCCACACCCCTGACACCCACAGTCAGCCCAACAGTGACCACTGAGCTGCAGCAGGAAGCACCCCAGGCTCTCCTGACCTGGGGTGGTGGGGGGCCTTGGGCCTCAGCCATGCCCCACCAACATTAACAGCCAGCCCAGTGGTGACCACCAAACTGCAGCAAGAAGGGCCCTGGGTTCCTGAGCTGGGGTGGTGAGAAGCAAAGGCTTTTGCCACACCCACTGACATCTGCACCCAGCCCAGCAATGACAAGCCAACTCCAGAAGCTCCCTGGTCTCCCCTGTGGGAATGTAGGGGTGCCACAGGCCTCAATCCCACCCCTTCTCCTTCCTCCTTCTTCCATCACATTTCCTGCCCCTTCCCCTCTCCCCTCCTTCCCAACTGCTCAACAACATCCTAGAATGTAAAAAATAATAAAATTTCACTTTCCACTTAAAAAAGTGAGAAAACTAAAGAAAATCCTACAAAAAAAAAAAAATTTCCCTTTCCACTTAAAAAAGTGAGAAAACTAAAGAAAATCCTACAAAAAAAAAAAAATTCCTCATCCTTAAAATTGGGATGTTGATAACTGTAATACTCAAATTAGTTAATACACTTTTAAAATTGACACAAAGCGACTTGGCTGCTGGGAGGCAGGGGGTCTGGATGTCTCCAAGAGTTGGGGTTGGCCAGTGGGCGCACCAGAGGCTCCTCAGCCTCACTGAGTGTGAACCAGACATGGGGCAGCACAGCAGTGGCAGACTGAGGAGGCCTGCAAGGGAAGCGGTGTGGTGGTCCAGGAAAGAGCAACAAAGCCAACATTTGGAAGAAATGAAAACAATATTGATATTATTGAAAGTGCTCCACGAGAGCAAACAAATGACAATTTGACTTCTAATGATGGAGTGCACACAAAATAATAGTAATACGAAGTCAACATTAGGATTAGGATAAGAGGAAGATGTAGAATAATGGTAATTGAAAGGTGGAGCCTTGAAGAGGTGATTAGATTGATTGTAAGACCATCAGTCGTGAATGGGTTAAAAATGGTGGTCAGGGGCATGGTTCTGAGGGCTTCAAGAGAAGAGTCTGTCTCTCTTGCTCTCTCTGCTCTCTCTGCTTCCACCATCTTGCAATGTGAGACCCTGGATCACTGTTGCCACCACCAGGTGGACTTTGGCCTTCCCGGCCTCAGAAAGTGTAAGGAATAAATTTTGTTTTCTTCATAAATCGCCCAGTGGCAGGTATTTTGTTTTAAGCAACAAAAAAAGACTAATACAGAAAACTGGTACCAAGGAGTGGGGTGTTGCTTATAACAGATACTTGGAAATATGGAAGTGGCTTTTGAACCAGGTGTTGAGAGAGGCTAGAGGAATTTGGAGGAACAGGCCAGAAAAAGCCTAGATGTTAGTGGAAGTTTAGAAGACAAGAAAACCATGGAAAATTTTAGAGCATGGTTGAATGGTGGTGACCGGAATGCTGATAGACATATGGACTCTAAAGACCATTTTAAGGAGGTCTCAGAAATACAAAGGAATTCTTTGGAAACTGGGGCAAAGATTACCTTTGCTATGAACTGGAAATGAACTTGGCTGTGTCATGTCCATGCCCTAGGAGTTTGTGAAAGGTGGGACCTAAGAGTTGTGAACCAGAGTGCTTGGCGGAAGAAACTTCCATGCAGCAAAGCATTAAGGAAGCTGCATGGCTACTCGCAACAGCCTATGCTGAGTTATGGTGGCAAAGGCATGACATAAAGCCAGAATTTAAAAGGGAAGCAAAGGGCCGGCCCGTGGCTCACTCAGGAGAGTGCGGTGCTGATAACACCAAGGCCCCGGGTTCGGATCCCATATAGGGATGGCCAGTTTGCTCACTGGCTGAGCGTGGTGCTGACAACACCAAGTCAAGGGTTAAGATCCCCTTACTGGTCATCTTTAAAAAATAAATAAATAAATAAATAAATAAATAAAAAATAAAAGGGAAGCAAAGCATAAAGATTTGGAAAATTTGCAGCCTGGACAAGTGGTAGAGAAGCAGAGAGCATTTTCAGAAGAAAAATTAAATGGTGTTAAGATTAACACAGAAGTACAGGATTATCAGGAGAAGGGGAAACAGGCCCTGAAGGCATTGCAGAAGCCTCTGGGGCCAACCCTTCTATTTCAGGCCCAAAGGCCTAGGAGACAAAATGGTCTTGGGGAACAGGCCTGAGGTGCCCTCTGTGGGCTCACTGCCCAGGACCACCTTGGGAAGCTGCTGCCAGCACCAGCACCCCAGCTGCTGTCTGCCCCAGCTGTAGCTAAATTGGCCCCAGATGTGGCCGGATGTACAGCTTTGGAAAACACAAGCTGGAAGCCTTGGCGGCATCCACATGGTGTTAGGTCTGCAGGTTTGCAGAATGCTAGAGCTGTGGAGGCTTGGGAGCCTCCACTCTGATTTCAGAGGACGTATGGAAAAGTCTGGGAGCTCAGGAAGAGATCTGTTGCAGGGGCAGAGTCACCACAGACAACCTTCACTAAAGCAATGCTGAGTGGAAGGATGGGATCAGAGATGCAGCAGAGAAACCCCAACAGTGCCATGTCTAGTTAAGCTGTGAGAGCAGGACCGCCATGGAGACCTGAGACCTGTGGAGCTACCAGAGTGGAACGCCAGCCTGTGAGAGCTAAAGTGTGGCCTGAGACCAGGAAAGCCATAGGAGCAGAGCTGCTCAAGGACTTGGGGACCCAACCCTACACCAGCATGTAGAGGAAGTCAAACATGGAGTCAGGGTACATGATTTGCCAGCTTCAAGATTTAATGCCTGCCCTGCTGGGTTTTGGACTTGTTTGGGACCTGTCACCCCTTTCTTTAGGCCTATTTCTCCCTTTTTGAATGGGAATATGTACCCTATGTTTGTCCCACCATTGTATCCTAGAAGTAGATAACAGCAGTGCCTAGAAGCAGAAATTTGTGTATGTGGATGGGGGTAAGAGAGTTTACTGGCATGGATGCAAGAGCAGTGCCCTCGGGACCCCTAGGGAGGTACTGGGCTGAAAGTGAGGTGCAATGGAGAGGGGGAGAGCTAAGAACAGTGGCTATTTACCAACTAGTAGGGAAGTACCTTTTGTAAAAAACTAAGTAAAGCTGTTTTAGCCCCTAACTGGATCCAAAAGCAGAAATCCAGAAAACCCTCAGGAACAACTGTCACCTAGAACCAGGAAGCCACTGATCCACAGAATTTTCTATCTTTCTCTGAAAGCACACACACTATCCTCCTTAAGCATGCCAGCTCTGCTGCTTCCAAGTTTACATGCAACAATTCCAGCACGAAAGCCCAACAAAGAGATGGGCTTTCTTTTCCTGAGCTCAATTCCAAATTCTCAGGGACTGGGCCAGCTTGGGTCATGTCTGTATATACGGCCAGGATGATACGTACAGTTGTATAACTTAGCAGAAACCCAACCCTGTGGAGGGTGATGAAGCTAGAAAAGTAGATGAATGTGAAGGACCTTGATTAGGAGATGAAAATGTGTAGTTTCATATGAAATAGACAATCATTTCACTAAATGAGGAATATGAGAAACAAATTTGAAGAGAGGGAAGAACATAATTTTGGGCACATCAGTTTAGTTACCTGCTAGGTTATCAGATGGAAATATGTAGTAAATGGATGGAAACAAGGTTCATAAATTTAGGAGAGGGGTAAACATTTTTAGACCAGTTTAGGTTTACACATTCACAAGATTGGACTATTTTTTAACATTTAAAATAAAATTTTGCCATAAAAAAATGTATTAAAACTAGCTTCCAGAATTGTTCAAATTACTTTTTAAACATGATTTAATTTTTTTTTTCACATTTCTTTAAATGTCAAGTTTTCTTTGGTAAATCTATCCAATATACTAAAATTTCATTTTAGAACTTATTTTATATTTATATACAAGAATGTTCTAAACTAATGTTCATCAAGATACCTTCCTCTAAGCCCTAATGGTTTATATCTTCCATTTAAAATGTATAAGTATCTTTTAATTAAGTTATCATTCTCAAAGATATTCTGGAGGAAAAAATATTAAACACCTATAAATTCTTCTTCACTTCTGTTGTAGTGTAGCAATTTATCATCTAACCCATAGTGGTCTATCAATTGAGTAAGGCTTAGTTTCTTGTTCTCTTCAGACATAGCCGACTGCAACTCATAAAGCAACAGCTGGCTGCAGCTTCTCCACTTCCTTATTAACAACTGTAACTGAGACAGGTCACTCTGAAAAAGAAACAAAAAACAAAAAACACAAATTTATGTCAATAACTAGACAGTCATGTGAAGGTTTAAAGGCTAACATATCTGGGAAAGAATGGTACTTCTACCTAGGAAAAACTAGGATGCTTATAAGTAGAATGGTTATAGTATCAGTCAACTTGAGTTCTATGGCTATTTTGTTTGGTCCAAACTCTGGGCCATCCTTACCTTCAGGGAAAAATCAAATCACTTAAAAGGGCAAAACTACATAGAGAAACAACAATATAGGTAAAAATTCCACTTTTTCTATTACAACTGTACTTTTAAATAATGATGCTACACTGTACCTTCCACTCAATTTAGCTGTAAAACTAAAACTGCACTAAAAACTGACAATATTCCAGTTAAAAAAATATTTTTTAACATTCAATATTTCATAAACAAGTCATATTTAGAAAAATCCTAAGATTCAAGAGAGCAAATGAGATATGCTATTCCATTATTTATTCCACACTGCTGGGGAAGATTGAGCTCTCGCATATACATAAACTATGCAGGTAAAATAAAGGTTACCTTCTTCCAAGTGCTATTTAAATCAACCCATCTGGGTTAAACCCTGAAATCTAATACATATTTTCTCAAACAAAATGCCTGAAACATGCTAAATATTTGGGGGAGACAAAAGATTATTAAAAATAGTTTTTATTGTACTTTGCGGCCCATTTTTAGTTTTATTCATTCACTGTCAGCTGTCACTTCTGTTCCCACTGTATTTGCACCTAACATGTGATACTTCCAATATTGCTATGGGCTAGAAACTAGAGAGAAAAGCTTCAACCAAAAAATTTTATCTGTGTGTAGAGGACTTTTCTACTCTATTCTAAATCTATGACTTAAATATGTTGGAAACTGACTAAAGCTGTTGGGAGCCATGTCTCTGCATAGTTGGTTTATTACGCTAAAACAAACAAAACACCCTATTCTCTATTTTTGAAATTACTTTCCTGCAATTTACATAAACATTTTTAAAATTATGCAATGGTTCTGAAATTCTTCTCACCTTTGATCTATACATTTTCACTAGTTTTAGCCTGCGAAGAAGGTCTTCTTTCTCCTGAACCTGCTTCACCAATTTTGCCTTTTCTTCATTTAACCCTTCTTTACAAAGAGTCTCATTCACAAAATCACTTTGGAGAGCACTGCATGACCCAGTATCAAGTGATTTAGATTCACATGCATTGATATTCTTGACGGTATTTTTCAAATATGTACTTTCTTCAAATTCACTGTCTATGTGTTTAAAACTTTCCTGAAATTCCAAGCAGTTTTGTTCTGTTGAAGATGGTTTCTCTGAAGAACTCTGATCATTTTCTTCATTCTCTATTTTAAGACGTTTTACCACACTATAACGGAAATTAAATGAAGATCTTGTTTTCCTTAATCTTTCTCTAAGTGTTGCGCTCATAGGCTGGAAAGGGCATCAGACATTAAAAATGTTAATTGAGAAAAACATTCTCGATGTAAATAAATCTAATAGAAAATAAAGGCCTTATATTCTATGGTAGACATCACTAGATGGCTTTCACCTCCATACATCTAAAGTAACCATCACAAAATGTCTTTAATTTCTGGAAATACATTAATTTTATTCTTTTTACCTCAGCAAGGTCAACACCCTTCTAAAAGTGTTGCGACACTTATCCCAGTAATCACAAACATTTGTTCAGCAACTAGCACGTGCCTTACACTATTCGAGGTGTTTCAGAATTACAGATTAAGGAAAGCCCTAGGTCCTGCCACCAAAGACCCAAAGCCCTTCGTAATGATAATATAACACAGATTCAAAATTTCCTAGTTTGGAATGTTGTGATAACCTGATTTAAAACTAAACAAAATTAGGGCCGGCCCGTGGCTCACTCGGTAGAGTGCGGTGCTGGTAACACCAAGGCCGCGGGTTCGGATCCTATATGGGGATGGCCGGTTTGCTCACTGGCTGAGCGTGGTGCTGACAGCACCGGGCCGAGGGTTGAGATCCCCTTACCGGTCATCTTTTAAAAAAAAAAAAAAACTAAACAAAATTGATTCAAGATGAAAATCTGGCAATAGCGGTGGGGGATCATATACATATCTTAGGAGAAAAACCTAAAATTACTATTTAATAAAATATCTATTCATTAATGCTACGCATTATATTAACAATCTTCAGTAGACTTAAAACTACCACTTCAGTACTTAGAAACCTAGAATGGATTCACTGGAAGAACTAAGATTTTCATACTTGTTTTCGTGAACTATTGGTATGGGGAGATGGTGGATTCGCACAGGCCTGTGGAGTGCTAGGTAAAATCACAGCTGAGTCTGATGGACTCTCCATCTTGAACATGAAATCTTGGTTTACCTCTAAAAAAGAAAAAGTAATTGTAAAATGGGAATCAAATTAACCAAACCTCTATATAGTCCTCAATTTTTATCAAAGAATGTTGCATTGATGTACAAAACATCCTCAAGTAAGCCAGCAATTTCTTCTAAAGTCTGTTAATTATAATTCATTCTTGTTCTGTTTGCAGTTTTCCATTTACCCTCCCACAGGTAGTTTTTCCATGACAAATTAACAAACTAGTTAATAGAGAACTTTTAAAATATCTTTAAAAATCTGCACTATGGGGGAAGGGGAGTCAGGGATTCTTTCATTTCATCTGACAGCTTCATAATTAAAGGAGATAAAGCCTAAATCTCGATTCAAAAAACATAATCAGACCTGACTGAACCATCCTAAACACTAAAAGCTGCGTGACTGGAACCAGCTACCCTCCAGGCCTGAGGTATAAGAAACACAAGCGGAGGGCCAGCCTGTGGCTCACTCGGGAGAGTGCGGTGCTGATAACACCAAGGCCACGGGTTCGGATCCCATATAGGGATGGCCGGTTAGCTCATTGGCTGAGCGTGGTGCTGACAACACCAAGTCAAGGGTTAAGATCCCCTTACCGGTTATCTTTTTTTTTAAAAAAAGAAAGAAACACAAGCAGAGATAAATTTACGACTGGCTGCACCGTTTCAGTTTAACCAGCTAACAGACACAGTAAAAAAGCGTCGATGGAAGTTGTTTCCTCCAAGAGGCATCAACTTCAGCGGCTTAAAACCACAGGGAGGCGTCCTCCTCTCCTTCCCCCCACTGCAGAAAGCCCACTAGCCCTCCGGAGACCGGAGGCCTGAGTGGAGACAAGCTCCCCCGACCGCGGAAAGAGAGCTCTACTCCACTCCACAGCGGCCCGCGAAGCAGCTCAGACGCCCGCTGCCCCCGCACTCTACCTCCCTCCGCCATTCCCAGCGAGTGTAGAAGGCGCGCGCAGCAACGGCCGTTAACTGACACAGTTCCGGGGGCGGGGCCGCGCGGGAGGCAGAAGAGACGCGCGATTGGCCAGACTGACTGACGCGCGCCGCTTCGCTTCGCCTCGCCAGCGCCTGAGAGCAGCAGGACCGCGAGCACGCAGCCGCGCGGGGCGGGGCGGGGCAATGTGCATGATTGGCAGAACTGACAGACGCGCGCAGCTCTGCCCCGCCCAGCGCCTGAGAGCGGCGGGACTGCGCGCGCGCGCGCGCGCGGCCGCCATCCTCGGAAGGGCGTAGGGGACAGGCGGGGCTGAGCTTCGGAACAACTAACCGAGCTCCAGGGGAGGCGAGCTTCCGTTCTCGGTTTCCTTTCCCCTCCTTCTCAGTCAGTCGGCGTCTGTGAAGTGCGCGGGAGGAGGGCTGCCACCCCCATTCCCCTGGCACCCGTCAGTCTGGTCTCGGCGCTCACCACAGCAGAGGCTTTCCTCAGACCCAGCGGGGCCGGAAGCCGCACGGCGGGCTGCCTGCCACATTACAGCTTCTAAACTCTCCAAAGGCAGAGACCACAGGAAAACAGCGCTGGGGCCAGCCTCACACGCGCTACAAATCGACCCAAGAGGCCCGGCACATTCAGTTGAGCTCATCTCTAGCCTTCTTTCCCGCCGCAAACTCGGCGGTCCCGTCACCAGGCTTTTCTGCCTCAAAACGCAGGTTCCTTAGGTTGGCTTCACCTCTTTTAGCCAAATCTGAGAGAAAACGTAGCCCAACGAATATTGTTGTGGCGCAATATAAGACGCAGAACAATGACGAAAACTGGTCCAGAATTCAGATGTTCGAGACAGATAATGGCCCTTGCTGAACCCCGGGGCAGCGGCATCCTTAGTCGGAAAACGCCTCTCGCTTCCCGTGGGGCGAAGTTCTGTTGCTAGGCAACAACAACGTTAATTTAGTCGGGTGGAGCACAGAGTTTAGGGACAGGCCTTTGAATAACTTCTGAGTCACGTGGAAGTTGGGGATTTTTCAGGGGCCAGTGTTTTCAATCCCCTTATCGAAGGTCATTTTAAACGTTGACACTGTCTCTTTACTAACAACATCTAATAATAATGGCTTAGTACCCAGAAGGAAGTAACTTGAGTCCTAAGCAATCAGGTATAGATACATAGCCTGAAGACAGCCTAATGCGGTGATTAGGGACATAAATGTTGGAGTCAAGTTGTATAGGTTCAAATCCTGGTGCCATGTTTTATCTGCTTTGTAATGTAGTGCCTCTGTGCCTCAGTTTCCTCATCCGTAAAATGGGGATAATAGTATCTACCTCCTAGAGATTGGAGGATTAAACGAGAATACATGAGAGGCAGCTAGAACAATGCTAGGTATCTAAGAAGCACTCAACAGTTATTTTATATATACAAGTATATTCACCATTCCCTAATTGACTTAAAAGGGTATATCACACAAACTCATCCCTTCCCTTACCTCCCCCCAAAAAACCACAGTTTTTTAAAAAGATGCTGTGATCTGTAAGATCCCACACAATTTAAACCATAAGTAGCAGAAAACTTGGAGCCTCTATGTATAATTAATAATATGTATTCTCCTAAATTTTTCAAAACTTATATAAATTAACCTCAAGGAATTTACAAAGTGAAAAACAGAACTCATGATTTTGTAATACAGGTGTTATTCACCTCACCAAGCCACAGGTCTCAGTCTTTACATTTATTTCTATCTTTACTCATCTGCTGGCATCAATTGATCTCACTGAACAAAGAAGAATGATGTGTCCTGACACCAAAAGCACAGTGCAGACTCTGCATATTCTTTATACCTTGGGGCATAAGGGTGAGTTGTTTTTATGAGTCCCTAAAATCAGCTGCTCCCAAATCCTGTTATCATTACAGTCTGAGCTTAGAGCTGTGTTTTTGCTGGCTGCATAAAGGAAAACAACATCTTGACTTGCAAATGTTCTGACTTGCTTATTATGTGAACTGGTAGATTAAAATGGAATTGTTTTGGCCAGATTTTCAAAGAACTTCAGAACAAGTATTCAGAAAAATGTGTTTTTCAGAAATGTGTATGTGTTGACCTACATCTCTAACTTCCATGCGTTATTAGGATCGGATGATCTTCCTATACGTAAGTTTGTATTTTACTTACTCCCATCCTTGGAAACCCACCTTCCACTCTTAGTTTAGTGTAAGAGATCTGGAATATAGCCCCTTTACTTTTCATTGTACCTTTACATAAAGCCTAGCAAACCCTTCCATGTCTTTAGTGACCTGAAATCTACAATCTGCTAGCCTACTAACAGTTTGATGTTTCTGACACAGGACACTGTATGTTTCATAGGAAACTTTTCAGGCAGGGAAAAATACTGCCCCTGTGGGCCAGAAAACAAAGATTCCTTACCCTACGATAGAGAACAATTTGAACAGTAGAATTCAATGATAATAGTAATTAATATCAACCTAAGACAAGCTTTCTGTGTTTTTAAATTTCTTCCATACCCAAGGCTACTGTTGGCCACATTGTTATTCATCAGGGAGTGGTAAGATGCTTCTGTTCTTGTCTGTGATTATTGTTAGTGGGATGATGACATAGACCTTAAATCTTTATGAGGTTTTTTTATTCTTTTTTAGTAGCAAGAAAAGAATAGTGAACAGTGTCTCTCTCTCTCTCCACACACACACACAGACAAATGTACACACACACACACAAATGTACTTTTTAGCCACAATTAAAATTTTCTTTTCAGTAGATTTATTTATTTTTTAAATTCTCAGCTTTAGCATTATTTTTGAAATCTTAATAATCTAAGGATGACCTAAATTCCATTCCATCGACTTCTGTATTAACAAAATTTTTTGTATCATGTAGACATAGCTCATCTAAATCTGTAGATTTTTTAAAACAAAAATATAAATGTACAATTTTAAAAGTAGGATTAAAATCCACTTGGGTGAGGTATTGTGTAAAATCCATAAGATTAAGTTGACTTATAATGTTCGTTAGGACAAATTAAACAAAATAAATTTAATACAGGTTTATTATATCACTCACAAGAAAATCTGCTAAATTGTCTTAACTGACTTTCGACATTTCATATAACATTTGTAAATAAATTGAAAGTAGCCTTCAAAAACTCTTCTCTAAGTTTCTCTTGCTGTGAATTCCTCACACCTTATAGACCTGTCCATGGTAAAGAGGTGTTTTAGCGTTCTGTCATTTTATAGATTTCCCGTTGAGAATAATTGACAAACTATTTCTATTTCTTTTCTCTACCCAAAGAACTCCATACTGTGTAACTGATGCACTTGTATAGACTTTTGAAGACTTTGCTACCAAAGGGTGACCTTTGTGAGTTAACTGTTTAATGTTCTTTAGCCAAGTTAAGCAACAGAGGGTTTTATTTTCAACCCCAAGATAAAAGACCCTTGATTTAGCTGTTAGGCGTGCCTGAGAGATTGCCTTCCTGAAGGATGGTTTTGATGGGGAGGGTCAGGATCATTCGTGTGATAAAACCTTTCCATCACCATGCAACTAGAAAATGTATCTGATAACTAACATTCAGGATAATGTATACTAAACAAGAACTTAAAGAGCTCCCTTCACCTCAAGTTTCTGTCCTTTTATAAACCAGATCTGGCATTTTGTCAAGTCCATTAGAGACTAGAGAAGCAATAGTGTCTATGATTCACTGCTATTACTGGGTGTGTTCCCCTGGAGAAGAATAGAGTGATTCAGGTTAGATTAATAACCGTGAGGGAGGAGGTAGGGTGGGTGTTGGGGGGTGGGGAGGTAGTGGCATAGGAGTTAGATTGTGAAAAGGTAATGGGAATAAAAGTATTGCTCGGGGCCACATCCTTCTCAGGTCCTTTATCAACTCAGAAATGTCACCCCTGCATTCATTTGGAGAAAAATAGGCATTAGATGTCAGCAAATCCTTAAGCAACAGAACATGTCTTATAATCATCTTTAACCACCTTGAAGTTTGATAGCTAACAACCCCCAAGATAATTTCAAATTGTTGAAATCTGAAGTGCCGGCAAACAAGTCAACTCATTTTCCCACCCTTACCTCTCATTACTGTTTCAGTCTTGAGGATATAGAAGGTTTATTGGTGATGTTTTTTAGATGCAGGGAGGGAGACAGAGAGGAGGGCCAAGGGTATCTAATGGTGTCAGGAAAATAAGAAGTTAAGAGACCATTCTACTATGTTCTAGGATACTGTGATGTTTTTGCTTTTGCCCTTGGCAAACTTTGATGATAAGTACACTAGTAGAGAAAACTGTGAATTTAGCCTAAATTTTCTGGCCCAGTTCAGGATCTGAGAGCTAGGATGAAACTTAATCCCTTTCCCACTACCCCACCTATTCAGCGAAAACACTAGGTCTGCACTGCCAAAGGCAACGTAAAATGTCTTAAATTCCCACCATCAAGCTTTATGAGCAGTATCAAACCCGCTCAATGTAGAACCCCTGACCAGAGGTCTGAATCCCCAGTGAGGATCAACTGGAGAGACATGATCAAAGATAGGGGCGATGGCTTGAGCAAGGCACCTTTTCATTGATCCTCTCCCTTCCACCTCCAAGATTGCACCTAGTGCCCATGTCCCCCACTAAATTAAACTGCTTGTCAGTGATGTCAACATTACCCAGCTCTCCACCTCCATTACATCTCTGTGGCTACCAATCAATAATGTGTGAAATTTAATGATGACGCCAGTGACCCTCAGTTGGCAAATGATTTTACTATTTTTTGATAGTGAAAATATATCTTTCCCACAGATAGGATTTTGTAAAAGAAGCATAGAATACAGCTTCACTGACCCTGACATGGTCCTCCATGATTTCACCCAGCTATTTAGACTTTGTTAGCACAAAATTTAAATGGATAATACTTTTCCTTGACCAATGTAAACCTTTAACTTTAACTCTTCTGAATTCTCCCACCTCCCAAAATTTCTCCTTAGGTGCCACTCTGGTTATTATTATACCATCTATCA